TTGCGTCATCGTTTGCGTCATGACGTAACCGTGAAACCCCTCACATCGACAACAACAACAATGGCCAATTGTATTGAAGCGCTACTCGTTTTGCTCTGTCGAAATGAAATGGGACGACTTTACTACCAACTTTACAGTCGTTGCATGCTACATTCAAAAGTTCTTACACAGTTACACAGTGGGCCAAAATAAAAAAAATGGGTACTAATCGAGGGCCGGACTGGTTCAATGTTTATTGCATAACGTATTGAAATGAACTTATTGCACATATTAAACCTGGAACTAACAAAGCTTAAATGATTGCCTATAAAAACAACATTACACAGGGTTAGGCTTTTTGTTGTTGTTAGAGGTTGATCTCGCCCCCGCCTCCGACGTAAGCGTGACGTATGCGGTGCTTGCTTTCTAGACCGACAACTTTTTGGTGCTTGAAACAAACCGGATTCCGGAGCTTAGAGGCGGCTCCGCTGCGGTGTGAACAGGAACAACCGGTGCTTTTCAAGCTCCAGCTCCGAACCGGCCCTGGAACCGCGTTGGTGTGAAAGGGGTAACAGACTATGTTGACATACTTTTTATGTGTTGCATTTAAGATCCCAATTTACATAATGGATGTATCTTTTTCGAGCTTTAAGTAAGCAAATATAACCATGTAATCTTAGCATATGTACTGGTGCAACATGGACCATGTTGTTTTAAATACTGATCTCTGGAAGTAGCTTTAATTTGGGATGTATTTCATATTCCTTGTATCTGACCCAGAGTTCCCGTTAGAATACTTTTTCGCCGATCAAAATGTCCGTTAAAGTTGAAATCTTGCGGACAAAATGAGAAAAGTGCCGGTCAAAGGTCTTCTTTGTTATTTATTGAGCTTTAAAACAAATTGATATGATTCGATATTAAACAAACTAATTATAGTAGATGAACTACATTATTCAAAAGTGTACAGTAACTTACAATAACACGGGAATAATAAACGGAGCGCTCTCCCTCTCCTGCCAGCCCGTCAGTATCATGCAGCTCACGGATCCAGTAATGAGTGACCCGACAGTAAAACTAAACATATCTATAACTAGTTACGGTAGTTTGAGAGGTAATTAAAATAGCTACATGTGATTTTCTAACCTGAAGTGTGTGTTTTGTTCCGCTCACCGCTGCAGGTGATCATTACATTACATTGCATTTAGCTGACGCTTTTATCCAAAGCGACTTACAATAAGTGCATTCGACCAGGAAGACACAACCTTGAAGAAAACAGAATCATATAAGTACATCAGGTTTCATAGAGCCAAACATTTCAAGTGTTACTCAACTGGCTTTAGGTAAGCCAGTCCTTTATTAGTATATAAGTGCTTTGTTAATAGTTCTATCGCTCGAAGTGGAGTCGAAAGAGATGAGTTTTCAGTCTGCGCCGGAAGGTGTGCAAGCTATCTGCTGTCCTGATGTCAATGGGGAGCTCATTCCACCATCTTGGAGCCAGGATAGCAAACCCACGTGTTTTTGCTGATGGGAACTTGGGTCCCCCTCGCAGCGAGGGTGCAGCGAGTCGTTTGGCTGATGCAGAGCGTAGTGCACGCGCTGGGGTGTACGGTTTAACCATGTCCTGGATGTAGGAAGGGCCAGATCCATTCGCAGCATGGTAAGCAAGTACCAGTGTCTTGAAGTGGATTCTAGCAGTTACCGGAAGCCAGTGAAGGGAGCGGAGGAGCGGAGTGGTGTGGGAACATTTAGGAAGGTTGAAGACCAGACGAGCCGCTGCATTCTGGATGAGCTGCAGAGCTGCGTGTCGACTCGTCAGCAGCAGCTGATCTCTCTCTCCCGTCAGATTAGACTTCACTCGCGTTTATGTCCATATCGATCAGATCTAGCTAGTTCTAGCTAATGATATGACTACCTGCTTATTAAAAGACACCTAAACAATAAGCGTCGCTATGCAACTGGGTGAGGCCGCAAAGTATAGCGCAGCATTATGCATTTGTTTACATGCCCACCGGAACCCCGAGGCATTACCAACAGATCAACGCACAATCAACCCATACAGGACATCTCTTTCTCCACATTAAGTGTTAGACATTAGAATTGACTATTCTTGTCTGTCACATACTCTTCTTGTCTGTCGCATACTCTTCTTGTCTGTCACATACTATTCTTGTCCGTCACATAAGTGTATTGTGCTAAGGGGAAATTATTTTGACCGGACATTTTGACCGGAGAGATTTAGATTTGCCGGTCTTCAGCATATTTTACCGGTCATAGTCCGGTAATTACCGGCTAACGGGAACTCTGATCTGACCTCAGTCATGATATTTTTGTCCACAGCAAGTGCACACACCTTCACCAACAGCAGAACGAGCTACAGCAATCAGACGGATTCCCGACAAGAGAGAACAGAAGAACGGGCAGATGTACGTTCATGGGATCAGATCTTATCTCTAATAAATATATCAACATTTTATGTCGAGGAATGTACATTGTAAATGAATGTGCACCTATAAAATCTACATGCTATATTATAGGTTTTTTTAAATGAAGTGCTTATTGAACTGTGTTTTCCTCCAGGGTGGTTTCTCTATGTTCATCCAGCTGATGCCCATCGTGGTCCTGATTTTAGTGTCAATACTGAGCCAGATGATGGTGTCCCCTCCACCCTTCAGCCTCTACTCTAGACCGTACGTACACACACACTCACACATGCATACTCACACATGCATACACACTCACACTTGTGTTTTTCATCGCTGAGGCAAATGTGCTTGTTGCTTGCACATGAAGGTAGCTAATAACATCAATCCGTAGAACTAATCACAACATGTAATGCCATGATTACCTGTTAATGAGGCTGTTTGAAAACAAGAAGTCTTCACCCTTGGACACTTTTTCAACAATGTGTTATGAGCACTTGTCCTGGTTTCTCACTGAAACGTGATACTGAATCACCATCTGTATTCAGAATATGTGGGGAACTACCACAGTTGACAGCATTTTCCCACCATCTTGTTCTTCCTCTATCTGCTGCAGGTCCACGGGTCAGACAATCAAACGGCAGACAGAGAACTTGCATGTGGATTACTACGTCGCTAGAGATTTCAAGTCGGAGTTTAGGGGCTCAGCGCTGCACCAGATTGAGAAAAATGTGGAGGAGGATTATGTATCTAACGTCAGAAATAACTGTTGGAAGGAGAGACAGACAAGTGAGTAACCATGGTTATAATACACCCTCAGAACAAGCTCACTGGGTTTAATAATGTTGTATTCATCACGGACATTGTTTTCTGCTTCTCATTAGAAACAGACCTGCTGTATGCTGCGAAGGTGTACAGGGACGACCGGATGCGCAAGAAGGCGGAACTTATGACCATGGATAACTGCAGGGAGCTGGACAGACTAAATAACTTATTCAGAGGAGGATGAGTTTGTGACTTTTAGGTGATGTAAATGTATATGAATAGATGTTTATGTTCATGTTTTTCTAAGGAAGAGTCTTTACACTAGGAGCAAAAACGTACTGAAATAATTTAGCTCTAATGTTGAAGTTTTAAAAATGTCCCTCTCCTCATATCCCTACACCAACTTCCTCATTCCAGCCTGACCCCAGGAAACGCCTTTTTAAACGCATCTTATTGAACCAATCCACACTTCTACTGCAGTAGAACGCCCCAGACCTTTGTTGTTGTTGTTTTTTTATTCTTGCATTTCCCTGGAAACAAGGTGGACAAGGACACTTGATTGTAACGGCATGTGCTTTGAGTAGTGAGAACCCAAACAAACCACTGTCATAAAATCAACTAACGGCTTTCGACATCATCTGCTTGACGTAAATATAAGATGAGAGACTTTATGGCTTCATGTAGGGGTGCGGTCCACCAGGCATTTTGTGAAGAACACAGGAACAAAAGAAGAAATAAAAAAAACACAACGCTTCCTACTCACCTCCGAGTGCGGATGAAGATCAATGGATCATGAAGAGATACCTGTGATTTTGCTACTATAGAATATTTTATGTCTTCATCCTCAAAATATGTAGTTGGTTGGGACTAATCACAGAAGGACATCGAAACTGTTATTCATAAATGGTTGTACATTTTCATTTTTGAATGTTTGAAGTTTATGCAGTTATTTAAGAAACTATGGAAGAAACAAAGATGTTCTTCATTGCTCGCCTAATCATTTAAATAAAGTAAAATTATTACCATAGACTTGGTGTTTTCTTGTCTCTGATTCAGATGTCAAAGGTTCAACTCTCTTGATTTTATTTGCCCATGCCTTGTCATTTCTGAGATTTCACAGTAACTGTAGTATCGCTCATATTGTTTTAACAGATTATGTTTGAATCGTACATAATTAAAATAAACATTGACATAAGAAGGGTTATAGCTTACTAGAACAGAAATACAAAAATGTATAGAATGCAATTATATAGAGTGATCAAGGCTTTGATACATAAATCCCTTTTCCATGGTGGTTTGTTTTATTCGGGTTGGTGTAAAAGAAAGACCGAAAGATGTATCTGCAGGCATAAATGCTGCATGATTGATAAGGCATTAGTTTAGGATCACTTCCATATTCTGTTGTATAAACTGAGTAATTTAAGTACAGAGTTTAGTACAAGATGATGAAATTATTATAACTAGGAAGGGATTAAGAAAAGTTGTTTGTGAATTAAAAAGTAGACCAAGTTTTTGTGTCAGCGGATAGGCCTATATCACACACTCAAAGTACATTTTACATTGATTCTGTGTCATGTTTGCTAACTTTAACAGAAGGACAATTAGCAGCTATTTTATATTTTGTACAATTTGTTATTTATTTTAAAGAGTACATTCAATCGTTTTTAGATAAAGATAAAAATACAAAATGTAAAATACATATCAACCCATGTGTTTTGTTGGTGAACTATGTTAACGTACAAATATTAAATATTACAAAATGGTATTATTACTTTACTGACGTTACAACACTTAGTCATAATCATGATTGGCTTATCGGAGGTCATGTGACAGCGTCAAACCCGGAAGCGATATGCTACAGCAGGTAAACTGCTACCTGATAGTTGTCTAAGCTAGGCAGTGGAATGAAAACAACCAGAATTGAAACTTAAAATGCCATCAAGACTTCTTTTTGAGGAATAAATCAGCTTAAATTAAACCAATGTGCCGGGGAAACGCTTGTTTTTGACGTCTAGTGGACAATGCGTTACCACATGTTTGTTTTTCTGTTGGGTTTATTGTATTGTGGAAGTCTACCATGGGTGTCTGCCTGCCAACAAGAGCCAGAGACCCCAGACTGGAGGATGACTCTGAAAACTATCCGCAACGGAATACACAAGATTGACACGTACCTGAACGCAGCACTGGACTTGTTTGGTGGCTATGACGGGCTGTGTCATTATAAGTGTAATGATGGTAAGCCACCTTCTTTTAAATCTTTCTTCCTCATTGTGAAACAATTCATTGGTCAAACATAACATTATCAGTGGCTGTAGTTCATTTAAGAAGGCCAGGACTCTTGTATCAAACTTCCTGGCTCTCTGGCACATCTAAAAGGGATGGTATTCATACCTGTGCTTTTCTCTGCTATATAAAGTGAATAAACCAACATTAGACAACAATAAAAAGGGAGGCAAACTTAATCAATGTTGAGTTTATGCAACACTTCAGAGCTACAAGATATACAGTATCACTCCTTTAGCTGCACAGTAGGCCATTAAATCATGTTGTACTGATGTGGTTATCTGTGTCACCTTTGCTCCTTACAGGTTACAAGCCTGCTCCTCGTCCTGGTTACAAGAAACCACCTCCCAACGGATGTGGCTCCCCGCTGTTTGGATTTCAGGTAGTCTCACATTATCACATTGAGTTTCCCAGATTTGTAAAGGGAGGTCCTTTCACTTCTTGGAAAAGTGGTTATATAATGTGATTCCTAAAGACATGTAAAAATGACATGTAATGTAAACAGCAACTCAAACTGCATATTCTTGTCGAGTGAATGTAGTCTAATATTAAAGTGTTTTACCTTTCTACCATGGCCCTGGCTGATAGGTAACACAACAGTGTATGTTATAATAAAACATTTGTCATAATTCCATACATTGTAAACCTAAAACTAAATAATGTATATTCTTCAAGATGTATTACTTTTATATGTGGAGCACAACACTTTAATAACAACATTTTAAAGGGTCGTCATCAAAAATATTCATTGATGTTATAAATATGTTTGTATCAACCAATATGTTATCAGAATTCAAACTCTCAAATATTGATATTGGTATTGGGCTAAAAAATACAGCATTAGCCTGGCTACACTAAAAATAATACTGAGCGATACCGTGTCACACAGAAAGATTTTAAAATCAATGTATTTATATGTTTCGTGCCTGCACCAAATAATAACAAATTAGAAGGACAAAAAGATTTAAAAAAATACAGATTTCAGTATTCTGAGGCTCTGAGCCCCATTTCCTTTCCTCACGGGCGGCAACAAGTCCGACATTATACAATTTAAAATAAAAACAATAATCATGGCTTGATATTGAGTAAGAAAATGTTTTTATGAACCCCACAGCTTCCGGTCTTCCAAGACCTGACCGGACAAAAAGACGTGATGCAGGCACGAAACATACTATCGAAATACATTGCTTTTAAATCGTTCTGTGTGACACAAAAAAAATCGTGTTGGTGAACACGAATCAATAGATTACATTTATTTTGTGACTATAACACCAAATGCCGTGAGACTGGGTTGCTTTTACACAATCAATCAATGAACAGAATTGAGTCTCTTTGTAAATGTGTTGTGTTTTATTTCCAGGAAACCTCCTTGGAGAAGTGTATCTTGGCTTTTGTCATTGCTGAAACTACATTTTATGTCATATCCCTGAACCATTATCACACTTTTTGAATTTGCAGAAAATCAGTATAATTGTAATTTCCTCCTAAAATACATATTGAAGAGTTACAAACATGTTTTTTTCAGTTTGACATAGGCATTCCATCTATGACCAAATGCTGTAACAAACATGACCGCTGCTACGACACCTGCGGCCTGGAGAAGCACGACTGTGACGAGCAGTTCCAAGACTGTCTGGAGAACATCTGCAGGAATGTGCAAAGGACTCTGGGATTGTCCCAGAGTGTCCAAGGTTAGAGGCTGAGCCCATCGGGGGTTGTCATTATACTTACTTATGCTTCCCACATTCTCCTCCTGTGACCTGGAAATCTTTGGCTATATTCCTTTTAGCTGCTTATGTTTCAGAGTCATTGTATTGTGAACATTTGCTCAAGTGTTATGGCTTACTGGGAAACTCTAATAGACCAGTGCCATCATTCCGTTTTTTTCAATTAAGTAGAACCTGTCATTTTTAAAATGTCTGATTTGAAAGAGGTTTATATGTTGTACTTTGTGCACTGTAACCTCACTTGAGATGGCTGTATTGAGTCAGGAGGAGTCACTGTTAGTTAGCAGGGCCAGTTTTTAAACAACATTTGAGGAAAGAAGCTATGCTCACAGGTTCACTTTAGTTTCATTTTACATTCATTTCTGCTTCAGTTCAAGGATAGAAACAAAGGGATGTGACAGTGCTTGTGCAAATGTATAAGCAACTGTAAAACACATAATGACCAGCAGGGGGCGAAATAGAGCTACTTTTTAAACATTTAATTTGTATACTGTGATAACTCTACGACGCTACTGTGATTGTGGATTTTGTTGTGAGTCATTTTAATCGCGTACTTAAAACTGCAGTTTTAATCTACTACAAAATCTGTATTAGCCCAATAATTCCTTAGTAAGAGCACACTCAAATGTGTTTTACTCCCTTACAGCAGCATGGTATCAGGTACTTGTTTTCACCCTTTTGTGTAGCTCATGTTCTGGTTTGTCTGCCCCACTCAGCCTGTGAGTCAGCGGTGACTCTGCTGTTTGACGCTGTTATGCACCTGGGATGTAAGCCATACCTGGACAGCCAGAGGGACTCCTGTGTGTGTCAGTACGAAGTGAAGAAGGAGCTGTGACACTGGATCAACACTGTGGAAAGCACAACACTGACAGAAGGAAACCAGCAATAAACTTTTATCTAAGATTTTCTCAGGGAGAGAGTTTCTATTGCCTGCACGGACTTGTGTCCATTACCTCCTTTTATAGATGTTTTGAATTGTAGACTATTAGAAGTGAAGTGGACAGTTAATGTCTTTCCTATTAAGTTAATTATTTATGTTTTGCTAATATTGTATAATGTGTTTCTTGTGATAGACTGGAAACACTCTGTTTTGTGGGTTTATTAATCAAAATAACTCTTGAAGAAGTTTTGTGTTAAAACCAAATTATGTTTTCTCGCACTGATTATGGGTAAAAGAAAGACTGTGTCAATGCAACTTTTAAACTCTACACAACAACTAAACTAACTACAATAACTGTCTCAGACCTTTGTTTTTATTTGCCCCTCAATGCAATGCAAACACAACATTCATTTTGATCCCAACTACACACCTGTAAATTGACAAATCTGGTCCCGTTTCAGAAGCACTTTGTGACATTGACACTCAAAAGGTGATAACAAACCAGCGTTGTTTTTGCTTCTTTTTAAAAAAAACTAATGTGCCGGGAAATGTTTTACTCTGTAAGTGGAGGATGCAAAATCACCGCTACACCTAAAAACATTTTTTTTTTTTGGGTGTCTCCAATGTGTGTCTACCAATAAACAAGAAAAAGAAGTTCCAGACTGGATCGGTAAGGGGAATACACAATGTTATGCCCCTGTATGTAGCACTTGACTTGTATGGTGATGGATCGATGATGGATTGTGTCATTATATGTGTTAAGATATAGATATAGATATATAGATCTTTATTTGTCATTGTACAGGTACAACGAAATTACAATAGACTCAAGGTGCCAACACGCAACAACAAGACAATATAAAAAAGTCAGCTTGTTTTAAATCTTAATCTCAAAGTAAATAACTGTTTGTACATTATTCGGGGGCTGTGTTTTAAGACTCTTGTATCATTAATAATGGCTTACTGGCACACATCAAAATCAATAGCTTAATAATTCATTCCTCCATGTGTTAAACTATGGACAAACATAATGAATGTTGAGTTTATGAAACACCTGATGGCAAGAATATACACTGTCACCCTTTGACCCAAATGTATCAATGGTGCACTAAAAATAAATATATTGTTCAGTATAGCATTCAAAATCACTGTTATGTTGAATATACACTTCAATAAAAACTGAACATTATAATATTAAAAAAAATTTAAGATTGTGTGCTATTATTAAATGTTCTTGATAATTTGATATAACTTTAAAAAAGCAAAAGGGAAACAAAGTTTTAAATAGTTTTTATCAGTGAAGCCAAAGTACAGTCCGCTCAATTTTATGACATTAATCTTTAACTCAAACGTTTTCATCTTTACTGTCATGTTGACCCATGTCCTGACTCCTGTCATCTTGAAACTGAAAGTGTGCTTTTTTTGGGGAGGAAAAGTGAAAACTCAAGCAGATGAGGCAGCCCAGCCATGTGTTTTTGGTACACCTAGCTAAAATGAATATAGTCTTTTTTACAAAGGGCAGGCACTAACATAAATACTCATCCATCAATAATATCCATTGTTAGGGATGTTTTGCGGAGGTGCTGTGTTAAACTATGGACAGACATAATGAATGTTGAGTTTATGAAACACCTGATGGCAAGAATATATACAGTGTCACCCTTTGAGCTTCCCATTAGGCCATTACATTGTGCTGATGTTATCTCTGAGAGCAAAATGAGTGTGACAGAACAAGAAACATCTTCACATCTTCAAAAACTCCTCTCAGATTGTATCCCAGAGCTCTTTTTCAAAATGTACCACTAAGTGCAAACGACGGTAACAACTTTTGATAACCAAATAAATTTTATAGGATCATTATCAGAATATTAATAAAAAATCAAATATTAATATGAAAATAAAGCAGAGATTTATAATACTTTTTCATAATTTGATTGCATATGTTCTTTTCTTTAAAAACCAGCAGAGGGCACAATGGAGAGAACTTATAACACTATACATTTGGATATTGTAACACAAGTTTATATTACTTTATTCTTTCAAATGTACTCGCAACAATAATTAGTTTCTTGTCAAATTTAAGTTAAATTAGAATATTTGAAAATGTCCCAAGTTTTACATTTGGGATCCAACCTGTCCTGCCACCTGACTGCTGTGATGCTGCTGTGATGCTGCTGTGAAACTGCTCGAGGCATTTTTTATGATTTTCTTAGAAAAAAAAGTAGGCCTACCTGTTTGGAACAAGCTCACCTTTTGTGTATAACCTCATCAGAATCAGAATACCTTTATGAGTCCCACACAGGGGCGGACTGGCCATTGGGAATACCGGGGGTTTTCCCGGTGGGCCGGTACCGTAGTGGGCCGGTCGGACAATTCACTAACTAACTAACTTATTTTTCTTTCAGGTGTAACATCTACCAATGGTTGTACATGACATAGACCTCCTCCACCTCTTTGCTGTCCTACTAGTCAACCCTCCTGATCAGAGCCTTTCCTACATAGTGGTAAGTTGTTTTACAGTTCAGTGTACGTTAATTTAGCAACTTAATGCTTTACTGCTGTTGAATAAACCCTATATATATTCCATATATATATATATATACATCCATCAGCAATCAATAAAACAATTCATTCAACACAAAATAGAATAAATCTGGACCTATTATATTTCTTTTTATACAACAGCATGTATTGGGACTGCTCATTGATGTCATCAAAAGCCATTAAGTCTAGCTTTTGTAGTCGGCCTCTCAGAATGTTTATAATGTCTTTGTCTCTTAACATTCCTATAATCATTTGTTTTTTTATTGTTGATATTGTTTTGTTCTTTATTTTTGTTGTGAGAATCACTTTGCAATTGTGTAAGTGCTAGATATAATAGTTATACTAATATTATTGTTGTTACCACCATTACTATTATTAATACTGTTTTCTTTGTTTTCTTTATTTATCGCTGCAGAAAGGATCATGCCAGCCCACATCAAACACCTGATCAAGAACTTGTGAATCTTCAGGCAGAAAAGATGAAAACACCTGTTCAAAGTTCCAGTTTCCTGTACATGGAACCATGTACTCTGTTCCACATGTCTTCAGTCAGTTCTGGACCCCATGACTCGGACACTAGTTCTACCAAGGCTCATTAGAGGTAAGCAGTGGTAGGAGAGTGGAGTTATCTTTTGGCTGCAAGTCGACAAGAATAGATTACAAATTGCTTAAAACATGGTTCAGACAAGAGGCACCTTGTGTTACGCAGGTGTGGCGCTGATATAGTGTGTTTAATATGTGGTTGAACTTTAAAATTAAATTATTTCCGGTGCAGAGAAAAACACTCGAGGTGGATGTATAAAGTACATACTGGTGTTAATAAAATATAGAGTATATCCCAATTTATCAACAATAAGAATGACAATACATACTTCTGGGTGTAAAGTAATATATCTATCATACTGTAGATCCACACATCCACTGGAGGTAGATTCTGAAAGTAAAATATACACTTCTTACTAGAAATGTAATCATAAAGCATTATTATGGCCAAACTATCTACAATTTAGGATTCAAGTGTTGGATTCAAGATTCAAAGGTTTTATTCTCATATGCTCAGCAGCTACAGTGTAGAAATGTCAATGAAATTCTTCTGACCTGAGCTCCTCCAACAATGCAACATATATAATAAAATACAAACATACAAAATAAAAAGTAGTGCAAAAAGTTTATATACATGTAATATAATAGAATATGATATTTACAAGAACAGAATATGAAATTAAATAATGTAAATTAAGAAAAAAATTAAATACGGTGTATTGCGTGGATAATAGACCCAATCACAGTGAATGTTCAAAACTACATTTGATACATTTTTCTTTTTCATCTCACAGTGCACATATTTAAGTAATCATAACACAAAGCTAAAAGTTAATCTGTTTTTCCTTTCTCTTTTCAAGAGTGCTTCAGAGGATGGCTGAATTCACAAAACGTGGAGAAGACCGAGAGGGGGAAGTTGGCCGGTTACTATAATACAGGACCTTGTGAAAAGCGGAAAGAAACAGTTGAAGGAAATTGGTTAAACATATGAAGTAATGAGTGTTTTGAAAATGTTTTCAAATTTGTGTTCATTGTGTGTTATAAATTATTTTCCTGCTTCTAATCATTTGATATATGAGTATTTATTTACAGACAATACATTCTATACATTCTGGTACCTTTCTGGTAAGGTAGGTGCTCTGATCTGAAATGATAGATGTTCATTGAGCTACTGCAATTGGGTGAGAGTCTTTCATCATCATATATGACCAGCTTAACCATCAAGTAATCCAGCTAAAGTTCTACTCAAGATCATACCAGTCTGACCAGCTAATGGTGACCAGCTAGACCACTGTGACCAAACCAGCTATCATGACCAGCTAAAGTGTCCAAAACCCCTCTAAACCAGCAAACTAATCCAGCCTAATATTGTCTGGCTGGCCTGACCAGCCAAACCAGCCTTGTTGGTCTAAGCTGTTTTTTTCAGCAGGGTACCTGGACAGCCAGAGGGAGTCTTGTGGATGTCAGTATGAAACGAGGAAGTAACTGTGACACATGATACTGTGGAATAGACTGATTCAGAAGCAAAGCACTGGCAGAAGGATGCCAGCAATACACTTTTCTCTCATGAGTTTATTTTAGCTTGCACTGACGCTTATGTGCTGTGTGAAAATACCTAGTGAATAATTGATGTATTTCATATGCAATTAATGCATATTTTGTTAATACTTGAACATGTTTTTCACATTATTTCTCTGGCTTTCAGGGTGCTTCCATCTACATCATCTAAAATCGTTTGGTTGCTTTACTTTATTACATTAATTAAATATCTGAAATATCTCATGGGGCAAAAGTGAAGACAAATGATGTAAGCTACAACACTGAATAAAACATGTAGAGACATTTATAAAGATGTGGGTTTCTTAGATATATTTGTGTCAACTGTAATCATATACATTTTAAGAGCGTTATTTAGTTTGTGTAAATTGTTCTTATACGAGAGGCGCTTAAAGTGTATTCCAACTGGGTCTTTGAATGAGCTCCCATTGATCCATCATCCGAGAAGAAATTAAACCTATTCATAACATCTTTAAAGAAAATAATGTGTGAGGATATCTCTGAAGAAAGTCTGGATTAGATGATTAACTATACTAATCTTCGGCTGCGCCAGCCCTAATCTTACTTTCATTATTTAAGATGTATTAAACCCCTGTACTTAAGAATTTGATGAGCCGCTGGTGCAATGTGGCAAACACGGAAGTCCTGGCTGTTGACCTTTGATTGACAGCCGTAAGAGCCAATCGTGTTCTCCACTTTTAGACATTCAGCCAATCAGATTCAGAGGGGGAGGAGCTACATCCTTGCTCATCAATGTAGCTTTGACGAAGCATATTCATTTTTCAGTGGTGTCAGTGGAGTGAAGACTACCTGTGAACATGTCAAACACGGCACAAGACGCAAGTGGAGGTAACCAATTTACATATCTTTTTAAAAGTACAAGTAGCTATAAGTTGTGGACTTGTGCCTGAGTCATTTAAAAAAGTTAGATAAGTACATACTAAAGTACGATGTAACTTTCAACAGTGAAGCTCTGTTTGACGTTACTGTGGTTTACTATGTTCTTACATTTGCCACACCTTTATTGTCAGTTTTCTCTACCTTCAGTCAGTCAGCAAGTTAGTACAACATGTGAGGCAGGTTTTTAATGTTTATTAAAACATTTATATAATCGCTTTTTCTCTCACCTTCCCAGGAAGTGTTGCTAAATGCAACCAAACAGCAACAGACAGGGCGAGGGGTGAGTGTTTTACTATAAGTAACAAAGGCCTCCTATTTTTGTAGATCTCTTGTGCTTTTATTCAATTTTCTTGATACTTTGATACTTGGTAATAATTGTATATGACAACAGTAAAACAAACAGTGTATAGTTGTACGTTTTATTATCAGTGAAGCCAAAGTACAGTCAATTATTATTTATGAGAATAATCATTAACTCAAATAAAGTTGAATAAAACAGCCCTTCAATGCTATCATGAACTCTATTCAGTTCAGGTTAAGTCTCGTTTACAAAGGGGCTGTTGATTTGTATTGTTTAAGTGGCAGGTGTTTCTTATATTTTGTCCACCCAATCTATGATGTTGCACAATTTTTAAAAAAAAAAAAAAAAAAAAAAAAAAACATTGTTCAGTGTATATCATTGCAAATCTCCGTTATGTTGAATATATATATACTCCAAGAAAATACAATTTAAAAACTGAACATTATAATGTTACAATTGTTTAACCACTGGAGCTATTATAACATGTTCTTGATAATTTTATACAACTTTAAAAAAGCAAAAGTGAAACAAAAAGATTAAAGTTGTACAGTTTTATTATCAGTAAAGCCAGACAACAGTCAGCTCAATTTTACGACATTAATCATTAACTGTCATTATTAATCTTTATTGTATTTGATGTGGTTTTGGCATATCCTGTTAACATCAAATACAGTGTGACAACTCCAGTAGACGAGACAGCCCAGCCATCATCATATGTCTTTTTGGTAGACCTAGCTAAAATGAATATAGTCTTTTTACAAAAGCACTAAACCAAATACTCATCCATCAATAATATCGATTTTATGTTAGGGATGTTTTGCGGAGCTGCTGTATTTGTTGGGCTGTTGAGTTGTATTTTTATACTGGCAGGTGTTTCTTATATTTTGTCCACCCAATTTATTAATGAATGACGTTGCACTTAGTATAAGAAACACTGCTCAGTGTATAGTATCCAAAATGACCATGAAGTTAAAGCTATATTTCAATAACGCTTTTAAAAGAAAACTGAACATTATAATGGTCATTAAGGTATGACTTTATTGCAGAACTTGTATTAGATTGCAACGGTTTACTTGGTGTAACTAATAAACTACCTCTATGGAAGCAGATCTATGAAGTCAGATAATGCCTTACAAGTAAAAAAAACAGCTGCCTTTAGCTCACAAAGTCTAAGCTACATATCTGTAGGGTGGGTTATGGAGGTGGCACTTTTGGCCTCTGTTCTGTTCCATCTTTCTCCACCTGTCACTCAGCCATTGAAGGCAACGAGCACTCTAAGCTAATGGAACAATGGCTACTTGACCCCACCCCGCAGCAGTGGAGCAATTCATGCACCTGTAGCTGTGCTGCGTGACAAAGAAGCCTGATCAGCTCAACCCTCCTCTGTATTTTTATAATTAATTAAGTAATTTTGTTTTAACTGCAAAGCCAGGTTTTTAAACATTATCTTTCAGTAATTAATTTCTAAATCGTTGCATGCATAATTGACTGTCTTTTATTTAATAGCATGCACGGAGAACCTAACAGAGACTGATGCCTTCATCAGAAGGTAAACTGATTTATTTTTCTTTGTGCGGGATATTCACGCCTCCCCACTGTACTCCACCTAATGTTGTTTGTGTTATCTATCTCATTATGAAACAGCTCTTTGGCTTTGGATCCTGCAGAGGAATACAAGATGGACCACAAACAACGAGGCCTTGCCCTGATCTTTAACCAGGAGCGCTTCTTCTGGCGCCTGGGGTTAAACGACAGGCATGGAACCAACGCTGATCGCTACAACCTGGAGAGAAGGTATCACGTGACAGCCGGCTGCTGGAGAGGGAACACTGTATTACGCAACTGTGCTTTACAAAAACATGTCTGTACTTGTTCTGCAACTTATGAGACTTTTCTTCATCTCTCTTCAAGACTGAACGATCTGAACTTCGAAGTGAGGGCTTATGATAACTACAAACAAGTGGAAGTCTACGATAAGATCAGTGAAGGTAAGACATGCATGGTCACCTATGACACGCACATTATTAAATGTGTATCCAGGCAGCAGCACAGTATCATTACTGACATTTCATTTCTTATGAGCTTCCTTGTTGTCCTTTTTATCTGCAAAGTTCGGACCAAAAATGGGCGTCTTTTACTTGTTCATTGAGGATTTTAACAAATATATCTAATGTCTCATCAGCCGCTGAGGAAAACCATTCAGACGTAGACTGCTTTTTGCTTGTCTTCCTGAGCCATGGTGAAAATGATCACGTTTACACCTTCGACGGAAAGATCAGCATTCAGGATATCACCGCCATGTTCAAAGGAGACAAGTGCAAGAGCCTTGTGGGAAAGCCAAAGGTTTTCATACTACAGGTACGTGCAAACAAACACAAATGACAGTAGTTCTTAAAGATGCATTGAAGGTTAACGTGGCTGTGTCCGTCACTAGGCATGCCGTGGAGATAAGCACGACGATCCAGTGACGGCCTGCGACGCGGTGGACAGCGAGCTGAAGACCAACGAGGTGGTGGTAGACGCCAGCGCCGTGCACACACTGCCAGCCGGGGCAGATTTCATCATGTGCTACTCCGTGGCTGAAGGTGAGGGATGTTTTTGAAACTCTTAATCTGCTCTTGTCTCAACCTGATTCACATTAGGTATTCGAATGTCTTGAGAATTGTCTTGCCACATACCAAAGCAGAAGTGAAACAAGAAGTTGTAGACGACATTGTAAATAAATCATATTTATTTTACGAGGCCAAAGTACAGTTGACTCAACACAACTGTACATCATCAGGATATTGGTTTCCCATGAATCCTGTCCTGCTTTGTCATTTAGAAACTGATGAGTTGAACTAGCCATGTGGCCATTTTTTTTTTTAACTCAAGTATTGAGAATCAAGGATGACTAACTTTCATTAAAAACTTAAAAACTGTAGGTGTTGAACAGGAATTCTACTTGAGTGAATTATGTTAGACATTAATCCGGTGGCCCTGAGAGCTTATCAAACTGCAAAGTAAGAAAACACATGCAAATACAGATAAAACATTCTTATCAATTTAAAACACATGGCCAGATTTGAGAAAAAAAACTGCAAACAAATATTGTTATATAATCTTAAATGTAGGGAGGACATTTTTTATTATTTTTACAATGTGATCATGATATTTTACAAATATCTATTCTTAACTTAAAATAGGTCTTCTGCTCATTTAAGTCATCCTGAGATTTACACGTGATTAATTGAAATGCTATGTGAGCTGGCTTTAGTCTCTTTCAAGGTTGTCACTACATATATTTCCTACTGTTCAATTATTTTAAAACAAGTAAAAAATAGAAGCATTTTCCAATTGGTGAACGGGTTTTCTTCATTTGCTTGTTTGGCCATTTGTCATGCATTGAGCTCTCTGGGCCACCGTACATTTAAGTCCTTCTGAAAGTCCTTTCTGCTGTTCATCGATAACAATCCTGCCCTGTCCCCTTTTGTTTGTTAAGGATACTATTCCCACCGGGAGACCGTTAACGGCTCCTGGTATGTCCAGGATCTGTGTGAGCTGCTTCAAAGGTATGGGAACACCCTGGAGTTCACAGAGTTACTCACGCTGGTCAACAGGAAGGTGTCCATGAGGAGTGTTGGGAATTCTAACGACCGGAGTGCCATCGGGAAGAAGCAAGTACCCTGCTTTGCTTCAATGCTCACCAAGAAACTCTACTTACGATCGAAGCAGTAACGGTGTCAGACCTCAGTCTTACAATTAGCTGAACTTATTTTAATACCTGGACAGATTCTGGGAGATTTTAATTTTTGTTTCTGTTTTCTGTAATCCTCCACTGTGATTTGCTCATGAACACTATAATCACACATGCATTGAACAATCCGATGCTTTATAGTGACATTAGTTAAAACAACGAATGACATGCACTGAACATGTATGCCTTTTCCAGCCTCAGGCCATCACTACACTCTCAACACAACCTGACACGTGAAATTGTTTCCTTCTTCTTGAGGAACCACCTTTCTTGGCAGGACCTGTATCTGTTGTCAGAAGGGAAGAAATCATGTGACAGTATCTGGTGTACTGATTCATCTGGTCCCATCTGAATCCTATCACTAATCTGGTTTCCTGTGTGAATGTAAACACAGTTGATATTATAACAGCCCTGCTGGTCACAAACATTTATATTACCCAGAGTACTATTATCACAATCAATCAGATTATTGGGTAGTTAATGCTTTATCGTTAATCTGCAAAATATTGTAAATCAATTATATCTAGTATGTATTTGCCACAACTGGCTGAGCCTATAGGGAATAAAGCAGAGCCACATTTTAAACAGCAAATGTCATATATTGAATAAGTGTGTATTTGTAAGGCTATAATTGTCTTAATGTATCATGAGATGAGATGCATCATAATCTAAGTGGCTGCACACTCAATTAATTATCTACGGGAAGACCTTCATTCATATTTAAACATATTTGAAAATATCTACCAAGTATTTGATAACCACTTTGGCCCCAGGAGTCCAGCATGAAGATGATTTCATATTCAATAACAACTTATGATACCATTTGTTTTTAACAGACTATAGACCATGATGAATTTTCTTGTTGTATTGGATGTGTTATGTTTTTAAGGTGTTCTCGTTTTATTTTCCAACCGCCTCAAGATTATGGACCACATTCTCTGTTAGCTAGCTTTCTTACACTTTACATGTTTGCTTTCTTGTTTAAACTACACAAATGTTGCCTTATCCAGCCGCTGACTTTGAAGTTTTAAAAGGGGGCATATCATGAAAGACTTACATTTCCAATCCTTGTGCACAGACATGGTGTCTGGACTGCCTGTCAACACACAAACTGTAACTTAAGCAGTGTTGGGACTAACGCGTTACAAGTAACGCCGTTATTTTTGGCAGTAACTAGTACTCTAACGCATTACTTTCTAAATCCAGTAACTCAGTTACCGTTACTACATGGTGCGTTACTCCGTTAGTTTTTTTAATATAGTCAACAGCCAGGCGAACAGAGATGAGAACTGTACTTAAGTACAGTACTTGAGTAAATGTACTTAGATACTTCCTGTGTCACATGCGGAGACGGGCTGTGGGCGTGTTTGTGTTGTTTACTAACAAGACTATCATGGCGGCGGCGGAGCTCAAGTCTAGTTTCTCCACCTGGAGATATTCTCACTATTTCACTTTTGTCGAGCACAAAGAAAAGAACGTTTTAGTTAAATGTAAGTTGTGTCCTGGCGGGTCAAAGATCCTATCTACTGCCCAAACCAGTAATTCAAATCTCGTAAAACAAATGCAATAACAACATGCTGGGACGAAGCTAGTAGCTAAGACCACAGAGACTCAGCCGACGCCACTCCACCTCCACCTAAGCAACAGCGGCTGGATTTTAACCAAGGGACTGCTGGCCAGGGAAAAGTCGATAAAGCCATTGCACGGTATGTTGTAGAACACATGCAGGCTATTGCTCCAGTGGAGTCACCCGCTTTCAGGGAGCTAGTTAGCATGATAGCATGCCCGGGCGGCACACGGCATATGGGACGGAACACTTTTTCCAACTACCTGGAGAAAGAATACAAAAATGGAAAGCCAGCTAATATCGATGCAATCCAGATTGCATATAATGCATGTCAAGTTGATCAACAGATTGTATTATTCTCCAATGCAATAACAGTACTGAAATGAAGGCTATAAGGGCATTAATGGGAGCCCTTTTTTCAAGTAACGAAAACGTTACTTTTCACAGTAACGCATTACTTTTTGCATGTACATGGTAAAGTATCTGCGTTACTTTTGAAATGAAGTAACTAGTTACTGGTTTTCAGTAACTAGCACAACACTGAACTTAAGACAACCCAGTCACTTTTTTTGTGGGCTGCTTACATCAGAAATCATGGGATTCAACAAGCCATTCAGATGTAGCTTCCCTTTCGTTGTCAGATGCAGACTCATTCGAATATACCACATCCCGATTGAATACCTCCACAAACCGCTGGAGAACTACCATTGTGGTTTACCACATTTGACAGAGCAGGGATTTTCAGAGGGCTTTTAAAAAAAAGTACTAACACAACATCAGACATTACATTTAGAGAGACTATGACAACATTTCAATTCCCAGAAAATGAGCATATTAACAATAAGTCCCCTTTAACAAGGCGAGAGGACAGTGCAAGTTGACATTTCGATGCCTTGACAGCTTCCTTAGACTCAGAGGAAGCTGGAAATGTCAGATGAGTTTTCTTGAAGTCAGTTGCAATGATGTCTACAAACCAAAAGACTGTACTTTCCAACTTACTGTATCTTGCGAGGCAGGTGACATAACAGCATGATGAGCAGGTCACTAATAATGTTTACCACTTCATTACCTCTCTGTAACCACCAGCTACCAAGTGATGTCTCTCATATTGTCTTTGAGCTCGCTCCATCAAAAAGGGAATTCATGTTTGTGCTGTTCTTTGTGTTGTAGCAGTTTACAGTACGACATTTAATAATGTGACAAATACCTGTGTGGAAAGTACCTCAGGGAGGAGGCTGTACTATGGACCTGAAACACTTCCAACACACTATCTATGACTCAGGGAAAACAAAGACACCTGCATACTGTGATCTGTGATCTTTTGTCTTACTGTTGTGACTTGGTTAAATAAAATCCGTGTGACAATCCAGTTACTGTTTTGCTCTGCGTTGAGTGATTGTTTTGTATAAATGTCATTTGTGTACCTTCCCCTATGACAAGGGTCTGCAACCTTTTTGACCAAAAGAGCCATTTTGCTCCTTTTTCCAAAACATTTTTTTGTCTGGAGCCGCAAAACATATTTCATAGTTTTTTATTGTTATATCAGACAAAAACTACAGTTTTTTTTGCATTTATTAGGCTATTTATTACATGATATAAAACTGTTAACCTCTAATAAGAAACAAAGAACTCTTATAAGGAGAATTGCAAATAATACACAGGCCTACTTTAAAATAAATTAAACACAGCACTTCCTCTCCACGTCCTCTGCACATTTGAAGGGAACACAAATATTATTAAAATGGGCCCACTTTGAAATAAATAAAACATATAGCTGCACCCTAAAAATAGTTAAAGGTAGGGTAGGTAAGAATGGAGAAACCAGCTCGAGTGCGCTAAAATTGGAAAGTACACAACCGAAAAAAATATGCCTCTTCCTTCAGACTTTCTTACAGAGCCCCTCCTCCAACACACACGAACGCGCACATGACCAATGAGGGCACGAGATAAGTTTGTGCACAGATGGAAGGCTGACAGGCAGGTAGGTCATCCAGTTACTTTAGCCGGGCCGGCTCAGATGATTGGTCGTGCTTTTTACAGCGCTTCGGCTTCCAGAGATTCATTTTTGTATTTATTTATTGTCAAAGCATTTAATATATTCATTGCTATCGGGACGTTAAGAGCATTCCATGGAATATAACAAAAAGTGTTTTCTGAAATAAATTACATACCCCATTGAATTATGACTGAAGATCGTCAGCTGTCTTCCTCTCCCTTGTTGTTCAACAACTTCTCTCTACATATCAAACATACCGGTAAACCAGCATCGTTTGCTGTGAAAGCAGATAACTCTGTCCACACATAATTAAATCCTGTGTTCCTCCGGTACTTTTCTTTGATTTATCCATAGTTCGCTCATCGAGCCGGGGGTCAGGTTATTCGCCTCCAAGAAAAGGCGCTCGCGCGGGACCGTAGCAGGATGTGACGCATATTTTAGTTGACCTAATTAAAACCGTTTTGTTTTTTATTTATGTGTCACAGTATCACCTCAAAATACAAGATACGAAACATTTTCAACCATGCAACAAAATATAAATAGTCCTACAAATACTTTTATTTCCTTCTTATTTTTGTCTAAGCTCAAGGGAGCCAGAGCAGAGGGCTTAAAGGGCCGCATGCGGCCCGTGGGCCGCGGGTTGCCGACCCCTGCCCTATGAGAATTCAGGGTAATTATTAAGTGTTGTGTTCAAAAGCTGTTACCGTTCATGGTGTTCGTAGGTCAATTTTGACCCATGATTTATCTCAGTCCAAAACACACACAAAAAATGACTATCATCCAATATTGTTTTAACTACATCATAACTAACTTATAATGCATTCATAACCGTACAATCCTGTTGTCATTTAATGTTATGGCCCCAAAACACATTACACCACATATTGCACACGTGCATGTGTGAGTTCAGGTTCAAGTGTTAGTGTACATATTCTTTGAGAAAGGTCGAGTTCCCGTGGGGGCAGAGGGAGGGGAGACCAGGTGCATGTTGTGAAAGATTGTTACAGTTGATGTAGAGGGTGGGGTGTCTAAAGTCAAAGATGAATCTTGATTGGGCCAAATTTGGCCTTGAGTCACCCAAAACAATTATGCTGGGTCTCCCCAGACCCCAACACCAAATTATACACTTTGTTTTTTAGAGACCTTCGGACGTGGCAAAAAGTGTCAAAATCTGTTTTGTAGTGTTTATATACAGGGCAGCACATAACTGGTGCGCAGGTGCACCTCCGCCAAAAAAATAGCACCGGGTCATTTGAAACAAAGCGCATTTGCGTACCAACATTGAGAGGGAGAGAGAGAAGAGAAAAGAGAAAATAGAGGAGAGATGAGAGAGAGAGAAGAGAGAGAGAGAGAGAAAGATATTTGCGAGTTGCATATGAACCATGATATGAACTCAGGGCCGGCCCGTAGCCCTGGCTAGATGTTCGCCTAGGGCGCCAGATCTGGGGAGGTGCTGCGCTGGCAGTTCTGGGAGGAAAAAAAACATTTTGACCGTTGGGGCTCATCCTAATTTTTGGCCTTGATGTAACAATATTCACAATTAAGTAAATGTAACACCCTTTTCACCCCGGTTCCACCTTTAATTTGCCCTGTACGATGGGCGCTGTAAGTGATGAAAATGGGGGATGTTGGCTTATCTGGCGCCCGCAGCTCACAGCCAAAATGCGAGGGAGAGAGGGAGGGTGGTACCAGAGCTGTTGTTATTATAATCTGGTGCCGTGCTAGCTGCTCTAACGGAGATAAGAAGAAGATGTTTCTACAATAATGTGGAGGGAGAGTCCTCTCCAGTCAGACTGAGAGGCTGATAAGTTAACTACAGCTCAGTGAGGTAAAGGACTCTTAGTCTAAATTCAAACGGTTTGGTCACAATTTATGTAAACACATATTTCCAAGGCACTCCTTTGTAATTATTGGGATAAACAGGTTTTAAATCATTCCAATGTATACTATAGGACAGTAACCAAAGATATCCTTTAAAACTGGAGATAAAAAAAAATGCATAAATAAATAAATGTTAAAGTAAAATAAGATATGAATGAACAACACAAATAAAACAAGTTACATTAATTTGTTATTGGCTATGGTAGGTTATTGGTTATGTTCACATACTTATTTGATTACATCCACTTTTCTAAGATGACAACAGACTTTCAACCCAAAACAAGCAGCTAATCGCAGACTCAACCAGAGAGAAAGTAGTAGGCCTACATCATCAGCTACCATGTCTGACAGAGAGGAAGACAGTGAGGAGAACAGTCAGGAGGGTAGTGATGACAGCTTGTAGGATTACTGGTCGTGCTAATGTTGTCTTGTGTTCACCTCTGCATGTGTGTTCTGTGTTCACCTCTGCATGTGTGTTCAGTGCCGTGTGTCTGGCAAATAAAGTCAAGACCCCCTCAAAAGTTACGGTTTATTTCATTTTAAGGATGAGCACCAAGCAACATCTCCAGGTGCTCCTTTGAGAACCAGGGCAAAAAAGTTA